AGTACAAAGTGTAGCATGTACTTGCTTAGTAAACTTAAATTCGATAGCTCAAAGAAAGGCTGTCCATGTGCTAAATCACTTATGAACAATAATATAGATAGTCCTTATGTAATGGAGCGCAAAGCCTAATTGATCTAAGATAAATGTCTTTCAACAAAAGGGTAATTCTACTTTCGAAGTTATTAATCATAGTTCGAGGACATCTTTCATAATTGCAGAACTTATCCTGTTATTTTCTACTAGTATCTAATTTAGTATGATACTTATTCATATTAGTTAATTTAGTATGAATATGTCTTGATTTAGGTCCAATATATTCAGTGGCAGCTCCGCCTTGGTGTATTTACGTTTTGAGACACAGAATGTTTCACAGCCTAAACAAAGCCATTTCACTCTTCATCAGTAAGACTCACATGACTGCTGCTAAAATTATACATTCCATTTTTTTATGTGAATCTACTTAATTTTTAATCCTTGCAAGAAAGAATCAACCCATTTTCTTTTTTAAAAATAAATTGATTTATAGTCACAAAATATAAGTGCCACATTTCCACCACAAAAAGAATGCTGCTAATATTTATAGTCACACAATTTTTGGTCCAAACCGCTTGTAGGAACAAGACATTAGAAGTAAAACGATATTACCAAAAAAATTTAGAACTATTACTGCTATATATTGTGTAAAGTAATCATTTATCAAATTTATATGGAAGTTACTATGCTTAGTTATTCCTCTCCTTTTATCAGAAAGCACATTTCAAATTTACATTGTCCTATAATTATCAGCTAAATCACATTTCTTTGTTCTAATAATTGATTTTGCGCAGCCATTGTTGACATAACAAGCCAATAGGGAGAAGAAATGTAAGTGGCGTTTCCAGGATAGTATGGCACAGGTAAGAGTCCATCAATCAGGATATAACCACTTCCAATATGGCGTCTAAGCCATTATGCCTGAGAGGAATTGTTTATCCCCCAGAATTGGTAATAGACGCATTTTATATTCTTCTAATAATTCCATCTATCAAATTCATTATATTCAATCCAAAAAGATAAGAAAAACAATATGATTTGAGAAATAAAATTATGCTCAGTGGAAGGAGAAGTCGTTAATTAAATGAGCTCACGGAGAAGGCTTTTAAACCTTCTTCCACTGCCCTATTACACCCCTACGGTGCTTTGTCTCATCACTGCATAATCTTTCCCATTAAATCTCTTATTGAACAAATCCAATGAAATTATAATAAATACTGAAAAATATAACTTTTGAGATTTGTAGAACATTTTCAAGGGCCTCAGTGTGTGTAACAATCAGATCATTGATAATTAAACCTCACTGAAATCCGCTAAGATAATTTAATTTATCATCATAAGCCCCTACTCAATTAAAACAACAACCATATCAGAAGACGAATCATATAATACTGTTTTTAAAACAAAATCTTCAAATCGTTAAAACTTTGACATAAATAAAAATATATTTCAAAATATACAATTTTTTGTTCAAAAGAAAAACAAATAAGGATTAAGAAAGAGTGTGCTCAGACAGCCAAGGGTTTGTCTTCAACCAAAAGGGAATGAATCCCCAGGATCAGAAACTCTAGTCCACATAATTTGCTTCCTCACCACACACATATTTAAGTAAAAAACAAAACAAATTTTAAGAAGAGATGAATAAAGGAAAAATGAAACTGAAAATAAAAAAATCACATGACAAAGGAACTGAATCGAGAATGAATCTTAGCAACAAGGAAGAAAGAGACCCAGCAAACAGCAATACCAGAAAAAGGCCAATGAAAGATGTAGAGGAGAGGAGATGTATATATAGGAGGTATCAGTATTAGACGCAGCTAGGGTTTTGTTTACAGTTGGGGCGGGGTGGACTTTCGCTAGGGTTTTGAGGGAATTCAAATGGGCCTGGGGAAATACGAGCTTCGTCTGGAGTTTGGATCGCCATTTAGTTGTTGGGTCAATTGGCTTCGCAGCACTGGGCCAAAAGATTGTAGAAATATGACATGATCTTTAACTTTTGATTCCCGCTTGCTCATGAGCAGAATTTCAGAGTTAAAAGTTAAAAGTATTGTCCATGGACAAGCGAGAAGTATCACTTATTAAACTTGAAGTTCTACCTATAGGATAAGCGGGGAGCAAAAATATCAGATCATCCTCTTTGAGGGTTATTTGTGTACTTCACCCACACTGGATGGCCTGTCATTCAATTATATTTTAGACAAAAATTTGCAGCAAGTATGATACTTTTTGGGTGGTCTTTAGATTTTGACCATCGGTTGTCCATGGGTAGAATTTCACGATTAAAAGTTAAAAGTGTTACCCATGAGGCAAGCGAGGGACAACACTTGTTAAACTTGAAGTTCTACCAATCGGGCAAGTGGGAATAAAATTTTAAAGATCATCCACTATTGCTATTTATGTACTTCACCCTATTTTTGACCTACCATTTATATTTTGACCAAGAAAAGTTTTGATAAAATAGAACCGTACTAGAATTTTAAAGATCGATGCTAGGATTTTGAAGTATCCGACTTGATTTTTAGTTTAGCCAGGATGCTTCAAAATTCTGGTAGCGATCTTTAAAATTTTGGTAGCATGCTTCAAATTCTAGTAGTGTGCTTTAAAATTCTGACAGCATTTTTAAAGTTTTAGCAGTGTGCTTCAAATTCTTGCATCGTGCTTTAAAATTCTGGCAACATGCTTTAAAATACTGGCACAGACTATTTTAATTTTTTTTAACGGGTCAAAATAATTAGTGGCATGGAATGATCCTATTTGTAGAAAAAATATATTCTTTGGATCAGTTAGGCTTTTAAACTACTCACAAAATCTTGTTTTTAAGGGAAATATCCAAATTTGGCCATGTACTTATGCTCAATTATGCTTTACATTAAATTGTGGTTCATCCATAACTTTAACATTAGCAAATTTTCTCGTATTTACCCTTAGTATTAATAAAGCTCTACATGTTCAAATTTTTTGAGGAAAAAATTCATATTCAACCCTTAGCTTTTGAATGCGGTGTAAGATTACCCTATAATAGCTAAAGCTCTAGTAGAGATCATAGACAAAAATAAGAATTTCTCTGAACGGCGGTACAAGATAAAACTAAAGTTTAATGAACAAAAATTTTTCTCAATTTTGAATAGTGCACAGGCAAATCTAACCCTTTTCCCTCTCCTTCAACTGTAATATATGTTGGATAAAGGTTAGATTGGACAAGGTCATAAATTTACTTAAAGGTTTTGGCTAAAATTTAAATGTAGATGTTATTAGGCTAAATTGAACAGTAAGAGGACCTTCCTCTTGCCTAAAAAGTTGCAGAGGCTAGACAGAGCATGAAGCAAAAGTGAGGTTGGGGAGTTATGTACAAGAAAGTTCTCTAGCAATCACGTGCATAGCCTAATTAGTCATGAATCAAGAGTGAAAGATCTGATCACCTAACACATTGATACATCCACGTTTGAAGAAAATAACTCTTTGCATTGTCAAAATTTATTATATTTGGCACTAAGAGCTAGTCTTCTCGTTTTCTTTTTTATTTTTTGCCCTTGTAAGTGTTTAGTATGGACATAATCATTTGTATATGCTTGTGACTACAAAATGTAACTCTTAATTTTCTCATGTTCTTTGATTTAAGTGTATGGTACTATAACCACAACTCTGATGATGTCCATTTGCTTGTCATTTGTCATTTGTCAATCTTTCTCTCTTTATATATATATATATATATATATATATAGTTAGGCTTTTTTTATTTATTTAACTCTCACCTTCACAGTGGGGGTTTAGGCATAACTCCAAACCTGTATATTAGCATCCAAAATGAGAACACATGAAGAAGGGGGACATAAAACCTTACCTTTCCATCTACATCAAGTAAGTTAGGCATGCCTAACTTTATACATATTTTTAATGACAAAAATATACATGTTATCTCCACATCATATACTGTAACATTTCCAAGAACAAAGAGAGATCCTAGTGCAAAGACAATTAGGTTAAAGAAGTTAAATTTCCAAAAAAAAATTGGGAGAACAGTTCCTAGTTACATTTGAGCGTAGACATAACCTTACCAGAAATTCCCTTTCTTTTGTCTCTTGATCCTAAAATTAGGCATCTGGATTTTGATCCATCCTTGAGCAACCTCTAGCATCCCTTGGAAGGTCTTTCCAATTATAGAAAAAAACAGTATCTCCATTTTGCAGGTTACTCGCAGCTTTAGCAAGAACATCCGCTACAGAGTTTGCTTCTCTGTAGCAATGTTGGATTTTGTATTGGTGAATTTGCAAACTATCCTTAATCTCCTCCACGCACTGAGACAATTCCCAAGGAATTCCATTCTTGTCATATAAGTGAACTAGATAAAACGGAATAGCATAGTTACCACCAGCAGTGAGTCTGACTCCAAAATGATATTACAATATCCCTATTGATTGCACTAGTTAACCGCAAATAAAGCAGCCTGAATCTCTGCTTGATTGTTAGTGCAGAAATGGAGCTTTTTAGAAAAAGCCATAATTAAATCTCCATTTCTATCCCTTACAATGCCTCTTGTACCTGTTGTTTGATTTTCTGAACTACTGCTCCCATCTGTATTAACTTTAATCCAGCTACTTGGAGGTTTCTCCCATGTGACTAGTTTAATAGTTAAAGAAGGTCTTCTACTGTCCAGTTCCTTGCAAAGAGTATACCAGTTCCATTTCAAATCAATTTGTGCTCCAACTTTCTTGTTAACAACCATGGGAATGGAGATCAAAGCTAACGTAAAGAAGAATCTAAAAGGAGAAGATGAGAGAAGAATGAGAGAAGAAGAGACTCAGCTCACTTCACTTTTGCATAACTATATTCTGTACAACCTAAAATAGTATTTAACAAACTAACTAACTGACTTTCACAAACTACTAACTAACTTTAGTTAATATTACACCTAAGCTTAACTATGGTTAGCTATCAGCTTGAAACTTAGTTGCTAGCCAACATTCCTCTCAAGCTGATGATTCAAATAAGTTCTTCAGCCCCATTTTGTTCAGCAAGTATTCATGTTGAGCTCTTCCCAGATCCTTTATGAGTAAGTCTGCTAGTTGATCTTCTGTATTCACATACTCAATTTTCAATAGTCTTTGACTTAGCTTTTCCGTCACAAAATAAAAATCTATGTCAATATGTTTTGTTCTCTCGTGAAATATCAGTTTAGCAGCTATCTGGATTGCTGCTTTGCTATCGTATATTAGAGTTATAGGCATCTCAATCTTGACATCTAGTTCGCCGAACAGACCTGTTAACCATGTAACTTCTGCTGCACACGAAGCCATACTTCTGAATTCTGCTTCTGCTGAACTTCTAGAGACAGTACTTTGCTTCTTAGACTTCCAGGATATCAATGCATTGCCAAACTTAACTAAGTACCTTGTAACTGATCTCCTTCTCTGTATGCATGCCCCCCAGTCTAAGTCACAATAGGCAATCGGCTTACTAGATGATTCTGCAGGCATCAGTAGTCCCAAACCTAGTGCCTCCGTTATATACCTTACCACTCTCAATGTTGCTTTTATGTGAGAGTTCTTAGGACAATGCATGAACTGACTAAGGACCTGAACTACAAAGGCAATGTCTGGCCTGGTCATAGTAAGATACAACAGTCTTCCTACCAATCTTTGGTAAATACCAGGATTCTTGAGAGCTTCATCCAAGTGAGCACTATTGGTATTAAAGCAACTGTCATATTCCGTGGGTGTTAAGTTCTGATTCAGCTCTAATGGTGTTCCAGCTAGCTTTGCACCACTTAGACCTGACTCAGATATTAACTCTAGAGCATACTTCCTCTGACACATGAGAATTCCTTGTTTAGACCTTGCAAACTCAATGCCTAGGAAGAATTTCAGCTCCCCTAAATCCTTCATCTTGAACCTTTTTCTTGAGATCTGTCCTAGTGTCACACAACAACTGTTGGTTGTTCCTAGTGATCAACAGATCATCTACATACACCAGTATGATTACCATGTCACTCCCAGCTTTCTTTGTGAACAGGGAATAATCATAATCACTTTGCTGAAACCCCATATGAAGTAAGGCTTCAGTCAACTTCATATTCCATTGTCTTGGGGCCTGTTTAAGTCCATAAAGGGACTTATGGAGTTTGCAGACTTTCTTGTGAGTCTCCCCCCGTCTAGCAAACCCCTTAGGTATATGCATATAAACTTCTTCAATGAGATCCCCATTAAGGAAAGTATTATGGACATCCATCTGAAAGATCAACCACTGCTTAGAAGCAGCCAACGCAATGATAGACCTGACAGTAACTATCTTAGCCACAGGAGAAAAGGTTTCACCATAATCCAAACCTTCTTTTTTACTATACCCCTTAGCAACCAATCGAGCTTTGAACCTTTCTACCTCCCCAGATGTTATATACTTGATTTTGTAAACTCACCTACAGCCAATAGGTGTCTTTCCCGGTGGAAGATCTACAATGCTCCAGGTATGATTGTCCTCCAGTGCATCAATCTCCAACTACATAGCCTTCACCCATCTAGGATCAATAGCAGCCTCTCTAAAAGTAGTTGGTTTTGAGATAGCTGAGTAGGCTGTGAGAGCTTGTCTGAAAGCAGGGGAGATATGAGAGTAGTCGACATATGAGGAGATGGGATAAGTACATTTTGAGCATTTGGAGATGGTGACATAATCTTGCAGCCATACATGTGGCTTGCTTGGTCTGGAGGATCTCTTGCATTCTTCAAGAGGCTCGGGAGGATATGATTAAGTTGCAGATGTGTCAGCACAAGCATCATTCTGAGAGTCCCTCACAGTGGGAATGATAAGTTCAGAAGTAGTTGTGTCTGTAGGAAAGGTAGGAATGTCTGCAGAGGACTCTGATGACATATAATCTGCAGCAGGCTCAGTTGAATCTTCGACTGTGGGTGCTGAAGAGGAGATAGGAGTTGCAGCATTCCACTCAGAAGATAACAGATCCAGAACAGGGAAAACTAGAGTTCCTGAATCTCTAACATGTTTGAAAGGAAACACAATTTCATGAAACACAACATTTCTGACCATAAAGGTTTTGGAATGCAAGTTATACAATATATACCCCTTTTGAGTAGAGGAGTAGCCTAAGAGCACAGCAGGCACTGCTCTAGGTGAAAACTTGTCCAAAACTTTAGGAGCTGTTACATAACACAAACAACCAGATACTTTGAGATGAGATAAAGAAGGTAGATGCAAATACAGCTTCTCAAAAGGTGAGTTGTACCCAATTACCTTAAAAGGTAACCTATTGAGTAAATACACTACTATAGTAACACATTCTCCCCAAAATCTTAGAGGCACAGCTGCTTGAAACCTGATAGATCTGGCCATTTCCAAAATAGTTCTATGTTTTCTTTCTGCCACCCCATTCTGCTGGGCATGTACTCTGATGGACAATGCCGAGACTAGACAATAACTGCTTGAACTCAGCACTAAAAAATTCACTTCCATTATCAGTCCTTAGAATTTTAACAGTAGTAGAGAACACATTGTTTGCTTGAGTAAGAAAATCTCTTAGAACTACAATTGTTTATGACTTAGAATTTAAGAGGAAAATCCAAGTAAACCTGATGTAATTATCAACTATGGTGACAAAGTACCTTTTACCATCATTGTAGGTACTCTATATGGTCCCCAAATATCATAGTAAACTAATTCAAAAACAGACTTTATTGTAGTATTGCTCAGTTGAAAAGGCATCTTGGTTTGTTTAGCAACAAGACATACAGTGCAGGGCTGATTAGAATTACCTGTTGTCAGCTTACTCAGTGTCTCTATCTTCTTTATTATGTCTATAGGAGCATGTCCTAACCTCTTATGCCATAAACTGCAAATGTTAGAACTAGACACACTAGAAGAAGTACTGGAAATAGAAGAAGAAATGAAAACATCATTTGCTGTGTTGACACACTTATTTGTTGCCTGAGATGAGGCTGATATAGAAGTGCTCCCATGCAGTATGTACAATCCATGCTCCTCTCTACCAATCCCCTTCACCTGACCACTGAAGAGGTCCTAAAAATATAAAAGTCAGGGAAGAAGCCAACCATACATTTTTGTTCCTTAGTGAGTTTTAAAACTGAGAGTGGTTGAACTTAAAGTCCGGAATGTAGAGAACATTATAGATTTCCTGATTACTTAATACAGAAGTATTTCCTGTGTGTAATACTGATACCACACTTCCAGTGGGTAAGGGTACTTTGTTTTCTTCTATGTTTGGAAGTGCCCTATAATTGTGCAGTATGTCTAGGCATGAAGTCATATGATTTGTTGCCCCGGTATCAACAATCCACTTGTCAGTAACACAATGAGACATAAAAGCATTCACTTGCTCAAAATACCTGCAGCAGCTGATTTGCTTGATGAGTCTGATACTTCTGTGCTTCCTTTGGACAACATATGAACAATCTGCTAATAGTGTTCAGGAGTAAAGACAGGAGCAGGATGTGGCATTTGCTAGAAGAAAGTAGGTTGATTAGTTGGTTGTGGAACACCTGAATTAGAGTAAATCCCTCCCCTGCCTTGTTGAGTCACACTAGAAGCTACGTTGCTCCCCACAGTATATCTATCCGTGCATTTCAACTCTGCACCACACACTTGATTTGCATACTGTCCAGTGTTGATTCCCTTCTTCTTGGATTTGAAATCCGAAGGGTATCCAACTAGCTTATAGCAATTTTCTTTTGTATGTCCCTTGTAATGGCAATACTTACACTGAACCTGACTCCTCTTTGCTTTGTAGTTTCCAGTATTATTTGTATTTTTGCTACCATACATAGCTACATTGTCCAAGGCTTCAAAAACTTGAGCTACTTGTGTCATATTTGCAATATTTTATTGGCTTTCTTGATCAACTTAATGTAGAATGGGCCTTATTTATACTAGGCAAATGGGACATCATCATGATTTGGCTCCTTGACTGAGAATAGGACTCATTTAAGCCAGTAAGAAAATGAAGGAGCCTTTGATATTCAAAGTGCTGAGCATACTTCTTTGATTTAGGACAGGGACAACCAGGGCATGGCATAAGTGCATCAAACTCATCCCAAAGCTCTCTTAGTTTGGAGAAATAGTGAGTTACAGTCATAACTCCTTGAGTCAAGGTATGAACCTCCCTATGTAGATACAGAATTCTGGAACCATTTACTGTATAAGGTAAAAATCAGAGAGTCTGATTTTATGGCCATTATGATGCTTCACAAGCACGTCTCCAAAGGATCGAGGCATGGCTCGGGGTTCGACCCCGAGGGTTCCCGACTTTCGACTTCGGGGCAGTGTAGATCGATGGTTATGATGACAAAACGGGAAATTCCCAAGGCACTTGATTAAAGCTGACCAAGTCTAGTAAGCTAGTACAAACCCGTATCATGGCATTAAATGGCTGTATCAGCCGCGTATCTTTGTAATAAATGCATCTACACCATGTTGGGATTTACCCTCATATATAAAGGGGACCCTTGTTATTTTGTAAGGATGGGACAATATACAACATTCAATACAAGAACAAGAACATTCTCTGCTCTCTAACTTAAACATACTCTCTATTTGATTCTATTGCCTACATTCATTATCTTACTTGCATTTATTACATTTCATTAATTGTTCTCCATTTATTTGATCATAAAGAGCCGCCATAAAAAATCTCATAATTGTTAGTCCTTCATCGACTGCCCTTAGCTAAGCATCCGACTCGACCCCGAGGCCCCAATTTCCAGTCATTCGGTTTGATTATTATACTATCTTCAAGCTCTTATCTTATCTTCTAGTCTCTCACTTAGCATCTATTGCCTAACAACTAGCATAAAAATAAATCACGTATTTTTAGAACCACAAAATCAAATCTAATTGTTATTACCATTTTCAAGGTAAACAGTTTGGCACCCACCGTGGGGCTAAAAATAATAGTGGTTGTTTTGTTGCTGGTTTACTACATAACGCAAGTTATCTTTCACACTTTTCTTGTCAAGAATCTTTGATTTCAGGTCAAAATATCTAACTCAGTGAACGCACATGAAAACAACGATGTTGAGGACCATGGAGAGAATGGTGTAGCTGTTCCAGGTATTGGTGTACCACCACGAAACCCTGAGGATGCACCAGAACCAATTCCCGTGGACGTGGTCTCGCGCAACGCTCAACACGTCGAGATAAGCTTCTACACCAACATGAGTGTACGCCAAGAAGAACAACAAGAAGCCCAAAAAACCCCGGCTCGGGGGGAACAAGGGGTTAGCCTTCACGTTATCTTTGAGATGTTACAGGCACAGCAACTGGCGATTGCTCAAATACAAAGCCACCAAAAAACTCCAAGCACATCGGCACCAGAAACGGCTCCTCAAGCCGAGCAAGTACCAGAAAGATCAAGCAACAACGGGTCAGCAACCAACCCCGCCATCATAAAGATGCTCGAGGACCTCACAAAGAGGATCGAGTCGGGCGAGAAGAAGATAGAAGCCAATGACAAGAAGGTGGAGACCTACAATTCTAGGGTCGATCAAATTCCGGGCGCACCCCCGATCCTAAAGGGTGTAGATTCAAAGAAGTTCGTACAAAAGCCATTCCCACAAAATGCTGCTCCAAAACCCACCCCGAAGAAGTTCAGAATGCCCGATCTCCCGAAGTACAACGGAACCTCGGACCCCAACGAGCACGTCACCGCTTACACCTGTGCGGTGAAGGGCAACGACCTAAAGGACGACGAGATTGAGTCTATCCTACTAAAAGTTCGGAGAAACACTTTCGAAGAGGGCCATGATGTGGTACCACAACCTTGCCGCGAATTCAATAGACTCATTTGCTATGCTAGTAGATTCTTTCATAAAAGTGCATGCCGGTGCCATCAAGGTAGCTACAAGGAAATCCGACATCTTCAAAATCAAACAAAGAGAAAACGAGATGTTGCGGGAGTTTGTGTCTCGCTTTCAAATGGAGCGCATGGAGCTACCACCGGTCTCCGACGACTGGGCTGTACAGGCTTTCACTCAAGTATTGAACGAGCGAAGCTCGGTAGCTTTAAAGCAGCTGAAGCAGAACTTGGTTGAATATCCCGCCGTGACCTGGTCAGATGTCCACAATCGATACTAATCGAAGATCAGGGTCGAGAACGACCAACTAGGAACCCCCTCGGGGTCATTATATCCTAGCAGGCTTCTAGCAAAGGAAACAAAGCCCAACAAGGAAAGGTACCAACCATACACTGAAGATAGAAGAAACGCCCCAAGGCGTAACATACCCCGAAATGACCGAAGGTTAGATCGAGGTCAGAATCCTCGGGAACTCATAAGTAGAGCCAGATTCGACAGACGCACAGGACCAACGGAGGCACCCCGCTTGTCTGAGTACAACTTCAACGTCGACATTTCGGACATTGTGTCTGCCATCGGTAAAATCAGAGACACTAGATGGCCAAGACGTGTACAATCAGATCCGTCGCAAAGGAACCATAATTTAGTGTGCGAATTCCACGGCACACACGGTCATAAGACCGAAGACTGTAGAGAGCTCCGAGAAGAAGTAGCCTGACTGATCAGCAAAGGGCATCTTCGAGAGTTCCTCAGCGACCGGGCCAAAAATCAATTTCGGGAAAGAGAGGCGAACAGGACAAATGAAGCAGAAGAACCACAACATGTCATCCACATGATTGTTGGAGGAGTCGACATCCCACAAGAACCCATTGTCAAACGAACAAAAATATCCATCACCAGAGAAAAGCGAACTCGGGGTTACATACCCGAGGATGCTCTCATGTTCAGCAACGAGGATATCGATACCTTGTCTCAGCCTCATAACGACGCACTGGTAATCTCTTTTCTTGTAAATACATTTCAAATTAAATGTGTACTTGTAGATCCAGGTAGCTCGACCAACATTATCAGGTCGAGGGTGGTGGAGCAGCTCGGACTGCTCGACCAGATCATGCCCGCCTCTCGAGTCCTCAACGGATTCAACATGGCGAGCGAGACAACAAAAAGGTAAATCACCCTCCCGGTCAGCGTGGTCGGCACAACCCAAAATGTCAAGTTTCATGTCATCGAGGGGGACATGAGGTACAACGCCGTGCTCGGAAGGCCATGGATACACTGCATGAGAGCAGTACCATCCACCTAGTTTCCGACAAAGGACGGAATAAAAACCGTCTACGGAGAACAGCATGCAGCAAGAGAGATGTTTGCGGTGCACGATGTGGCACCGGCATCCACGCCCCCGACATAAAAGGAGCTAAAGGATAAGCAGACAGTGAAGTAGCGATCACGAAATACATTCGCAGCTATGCCCGATTAAACGAGCAAAGGACCGTACTGTGTCCCTAAAACGAACGATTAAAGTGTGTTGAGGCTCGAAGCGCCATCACCACTAAGGTATAATCATCTCCCCTTTTCATTTACATTTTACACTAACCTGTGCGCAGGTATCTGATTGGAACAGTCGAAGCGATCTCCAGCTTGAAGACCTTAGGTTTCAAAGCATGCGTTGCACTCTTTTCCTTCGATCGGGTTTTATCCTAGAAAGGGTTTTACCGGCAAGGTTTTTAACGAGGCAACATCTATGTGCTACCTAGGGAAAACTCAACAAGTACTCAAGGCTCCTCTTCAATCATCCTCGAATACTGGGGGGCATCCCCCCCGGAAGGTCACCTCCTCGGAGAAGTCAAGCTGTGCCAAAAAGGGTATCGATAGGAAAATGATGTATCGGGCCAAACGGTCGAATGAATCGTGTCCGTATAGAATAACCGAGCCCTTGACAGCAAAAAACATGTATACTTGTGCCAAGTAATCAAGAAATATTTTTTCCATCAAAACGCTTTGCGCTTCGAAGAAATCCGCTATTTTTTTAAGAAACAGCTCCAGAGCAAGAAATTTCCCGAACACTCGGGGACTGACGTCAAAAACTCGAAGTCACATGACCTCCGGTTCGAAATCTTCGAACTAGTAAGCCCTCAATGAGGCAACTACAAATTTACACAAAACGCCTCCAGAGCCAAGAAACTCTCAATATCTCGGGGACTGTCGCAGACTGCCACCCCATCGACTTATCGAAAACCCGAGGCTATAAGACCCCATGTGGGAAACCTCGAGCTCGTAAGACCTTTATAAAGCTATACCAAAATCTGTAAGACCTCAAGCAAGGCATGAACTATACTTGTACCAAGTAACCAAAATTGTAAGACCTCAAGTAAGGCATGTAAAAAGTTATAAGACCTTACAAAAAGGCATAATCCCGGTCTTAAAGATAAGGCTATATATTCGAACTTGTAAGACCCCTAAAAAGGCATACCCTCGATATAGACGACGAAGTTACATCACTCGGGGACTAAAAGGCTACGGCCCAATACAAATGAATACGGTCACAAGGCTGTACCAGCCAAACTAACGTGACTCGGGGACGCCCGACCGTCGCTATAAAATCACATGCCTTCAATTACTTCGAACAAACTTTGAAAAGAACCGGTTAATCAGGCTACCCTCGTCATAAGCAAAAGAGCTTCGATCATATAAGCTCCAAACAACAGGCTTCAAAGCAATTCAGCCATCGAGCGAAACCTCCCGAGGTGCTCATTCATCGCTACATAACAACTTACAATCGAGGTTCTTGTCTAGCCGTCGAAGAGTCGAGCGAACACAAAAACTTCAAAAATATTTAACGAGGGAAAATGAAGCCTATATTAAAGGGCGTACCGACCCTATGCATAAGAGCCACTGCCGCAACCCATATTAGAGGTCGTACCGACCCAACGCGTAAGAGCCTAAGGGCCAAATTCAAAAACTTAAGGGTCAATGAGCTCGAGTCAAAATCCGACTCGAAGACTGAGCCCGAAACAATTA